TAGTACTTCATTGTATAAAAAGACACATTTTTTATTCATGGATAGAGCTCAGTACAGATGCTCAGTAGATGCATATTTGTGTTATTTCCAAGATCTAATTGCCTGATAATTTAAAAAGTCAGTGCAGTTCAAGAAGTACAGATGAAAAGTTAAATTAGGAAGACAATTTAGAATATAAATGAAATTCAGCAAAGAGATAAAGATTTTTAAAAGAAACAAGCAGAAATATTGGAAATTAAGAGATCAATAGGTCAAATAAGAAAGATAGTTGAAAACCTCAAGAACAGACTAAATCAAGCAGAAGAAAAAAAACCAAACTTGAATACAGGTGTTTTTAAATATCCAGTCAGACAAAGAAAAAATAGAACAAATGAAAAAAGCATTCAAAACCCATGGAATGCCATATTAAATGAACAAATATCCATATTTTTGTAATACTCAAGTGGCAGTACAAAAAAGATAAAGACATAAAATCTATTCAATGATATAATGACATAAAACTTCCCTAGTCTTGGGAAAGATATGGACACCATATACGGGAGGCTCTATAGAACTCTAAATAGAATTGATCAGAAGAGATCTTCAGCATGATCAAAATATCAAAAGTATAAGACAGGGGAAAAAATTCTAAAATCTGGAAAAGAACACTAAATCACATTAGAAGATATGTCCATTAAAGCAAAAACAGATTTCTCAACAAAAATCCTACAGTCCAGGAGGAAATAGAATGATGCCTTCCAAGTCCTGAAACAAAATAACAATATGACAGTCCTTCAGAAGTGCAGAATAAAGACATTTCAAGGCTACCAGACTGTCCACCAGACCAACTTTACAAAAGGAATTCCCACATTCAGAAGAGAAATATAACTAACTAAAAGGAAGTATGTGAATGGAAAAATCCCATTTGAGTTATAGATGCACACAAGAAATAGAAAATAATCAAATATTATCAACACAGTAAACCCTCAAATCACAAAGATAAAAAAGAAGAGCATTCAAAATGACTAAACGGAAGTTAAAATGATAGGAGTAAGATCTTACCTATCAACAATAACCTTGAATATGGGGGCTGGGGATTTAGTTTCGCCTGCCTTGCAAGCAAGCGGTCGTGAGTTCAATCTCTGATACCAACAACAACAACAAAATAACCTTGAATATAAATCGACTAAACTCTCTAGTTAAAAGACTCAGATTGGCTAATGGATAGAAAAACAAAATTCAACCATATACTGCCTGTAAGAAACACACCTCACCAGTAAATTCACACACAGACTGAAAGTGAAAGGATGGAAAATGATATTGTAAACAAATGGAAACCTAAGGCAAGCAAGAGTAATGGGCTATACTTTTATCTGATAAAATAGATTTTTGGACAAAAACTGCAAGAAAAAAACAAAGATTACATTATAATCAAAGGATTATTTCAATAAGATATAATAACCATAAATTTATATGTGCCTAAAGTCAAAGGATTCAATTTTATCAAATACTATTAGACCAACATTATTAGACTGAAGGGAGAGATTTAGGGTTTGATTCAATAAGGGGACTTTCTGCTCCCCACTGTTATCAATGGACAGATCATTGAGACAAAAATCAGCAAATAACCATAGAAATTAAACTATGGTATAAAGGACTTAACATTTATAGAGCTTTTCATGTGACAGTTGAGACATACATATTCTTTTCATCAGTACATAGAATGTTTTCTAAATAAGCCATATGTTAAGGACACAAAACAAGTCTCGACAGACTCAAACAATTGGAATCATACATATCTCATAATAATGGAACTAGAATTTTAGTAAAAATTTAAAATTTGTACATATACATTGGAGACTGAACCACACACTTTGAAATAAACAATGGGCCATCAAAGAAATCAAAAAAGAAATTTAAAAATCTCTTGAAACAAAGGAAAATGGAAATACAAGATAAAAAACTTACGGGGTACAGCAGAAGCAGTAGAAAGAGGATAGTTTAGAGGATTATACACCTACATTAAAAAATAGAAGGGTTTCAAATAAATAAATGTGAATCTAGGATGATTAGTCAGCCTACACCTTTTTTTTTCTATAACAATGATGATGAATCTTTCAGAACTTTCAATGATACCAACTGCTTGCTATTGCGTGTGTGCATAGGTTTGCACCATTGGCCTATAACCTACATAATTATGTACAGCTTAAAAGAAATGACATTCTCTAGGAAAGGTCATTAGCCCTAAGGACCGTGTCCTAGGGAACATAGGTAAAAATTTAGTTTTCTAAAGATCTTCCTTTGAGAAAGAATAGATGTAAGATGCAGGTCATTGTTTTTAGAAAGAAGACACTTCCCTGAAGTGTTTTCAGAGAAGAAGCCAGATAAAAGTGTATAGCAAGAAGCCATCCCCATTTTTTCAAGAGGCATTCGCTACTTATTGAAAACTTCACTGAGATTTGTGCATGCTACTTAAATCATCACACAAACAAATGTAATGTAGGATCAGGCAGTCAGAATAAAAAATATAAAGGGTAAATATATCAAAAGGATGTGAAATTTTTCACCAAGTAGGATTAGATAAAAGGTAATTTCTTCTGTAAATTATTTTTAGATAAGCACTTTCATGTGAGGCACTTGGAATTTCTCTTAAATACTAAAAAATTGTGTTCTAACAGAATCTGTTCAAAAGGCAGGACAAAAAGCTTCAAAATTACTCTCCCCAAAATCAAAATTGGAATTGTAAGAATTTCATAGCAACTCACAGAATCCAATTTGTAGACATTCACTTCAAAGGTACTTCCAAATTATGACTTTGAAAAGCAGTTGAGACTTTTGTCTCAGGAATAATTGTACTAACAGTTGGTTGACCCAAGGAAACACACTGCATATTTAGTGTACTTGCCCATTTGAATTTTTTAAAAAAGAAAATAAAATCTAACAAAATAAAACAGAATAAAGCCAATTGAGACAAAACAGTGAAAGTAATATACATTTCAAAACCATAATAGGAAATCAACAATAGCTACCATCTTTCTTGTTATCTTCACAATAGTTGTCCATACCATTAGACATAGTAAAATAAAATTAAATAACACGAAAAGTAAAACCAATCAAAACAGAACATTAAATAAAACAAAACAAGCAACAAGTGAGAACAATATTGAATTTCAAAAATAAGACAGAAGGAAATCCCATATTTTCTATTTTGCATGCTGTTATCCTCTTAATAGATGCCCAGAATACTGGCCTTATACCTGCAAAGAATGCAAGCATTTAGTTGTTTTTGTACCTCAGTTGCTATCAACTCAGCCTGTCCTCTGAACCTGTCAGGTACTTACAGAGGTATGTGTGTTGGGGGTGCTACTTGATTCTCAGCCTTGAGGCTCATGGGAAGGGTGAAATGGCTTCTCTCTTCCTGGGTCCCACATGGCTTGCACAGCTTATGGGAAGGGCAAACTGGCTTCTTGTTGTACTCCTCCCAGATCCAGCATGGCTTCTGCCCATTGAAATTTTTAATATCAAATTTCATTAAAAATCCAGTTTAATGCTATTAAATACTTAATTCAAAAATGTTTTGTCAATTCTTTCAGAATGAAGGATTTAAGGTTACCAATATATAGAAAACCATATGTGAAGTCAACAATTTTGAAACCAAAGCCTCGAGCTATAATTGTATCATTTTCCAAAGTATGTTCTGTGACATATTAGTATGCAGAGAGAGAGAGAGGAGGAGAGAGACAGAAGAGAAGAAAAGAGAAGAGAAAGAAGAGAAGAGAAGAGAAGAGAAGAGAAGAGAAAAGTATCTCATACTAAGTATGATGAAAATCACGGAGACGGAGTTTAATGTTTCTTTACTGTACAACTTGAGAGACATAATAGTAATAATGGACCCTGACCCTCTCCGAGGTTGAAGCATGCTATTTGTTTTCCAAAACTGACCAAATTTTGTTTGAATATCTAGAAAGTCTAGTTCTAACGAACACCCATGCAGAATACACTGGTCTGTATTTTTAAATTTAATAATAACTCTTCACAAGTTGTGACTAAACTATTTGCAGATGGTCAAGGCAGTTAGTTATGTCCAAAGCACAGAGCAGTTTGACATTCTAAACATATTGACATTTCAACACACATTGATAAAGAAACTATCTTATAATATCTTGAACTCTAATTAGAAGAACAAACAAGACAATGAGATCTAACAGAAAGTAGTTGTGGCTTGCAGTTTAGAGAATTTTCATTTTGATGTTTTGGAGAGGCAGATGAATTGTTGCATGGGGCAGGGCTTTGTTAAGTATGTAGAGTTCTAGTCAGGGGTTTAAGGAATTATAAATGAGCAGAAATGAGCAATCGTAGTTAAGCAAACTAATGTGAAACCCGGCATTTTCTAAATAAGCAGTATCTCCCAATGAATTTAAACTGTGGATCTATAAATAATCTAAACTGATGCCTAACCTTCATACTGAAATGGAGGAGGAAGAGTAAAAGATTTGTCCAGACCCCATTAAGACAAAGCAATGAGGAAGAAATCAAAGGTGTCAAGGTACCCTGAAAACAGGTAATCGGGAAACAGTGAACTATGACGTATATCATGTCACTACTTTACAAAGAAAATCCCTCCCAACCAACTTGTAAGAGTGAGACCCTTGATGAAAACTACTAAGTCACAAATGTACTATTATTAAAAGGAAGCGGGATAAAATAGTTCAAAATTATTTTACGTATTTCCTCTTCATGGTATAGATCAGGGGTGATGAACCTTTGAAAGCTTTCGATGATAAAAAGAGCCTGCTGTGAAACGTATGCCATAGGTTCACCACCACTAGTACGGACATTAAATATGTAGACAGACAAATGATTTAGTTCAGATGTGAAGTGACATGTTTGTATCAGTCAGAAACACTCAAGTTCTTTTCTTTAGCCACACAAAAATGGCACTGTGCTTAGTAACAAAGAATATAAAATATGAAAATAAAAATTTTATTAAGAGTAAAAATGTTACATACAAGGTTGATGAAATGTAGTACATGAACAACCTTTGTTTAAGAAACAAATGCAAGCTTAGTGAAGAAAGAAATTTGAAGCTTAGAACAGGTTTCCATACAAAATTTCCAAGCATTTTAAGTAACAATGCTTCACTTTGCATAAATTTACAGATAACTGAGGGAAAAGTACACAGATTTGCAGCAATATCCCATCATCAACTCACTTTGTGTCTTCCTGTATCTATCTTTCATCATGATCCCAACTCTGATGGACCTGATCTTATTCTAAGGTCTTCTGTAAGTGCATGCTTGCCAAGAGGTTATAGCACAAGTAGTTTTTTTGTACAGTGTGAATTAAATAAATTCCACATGCTTTTAAGTAAACTCCATGGTTTTCAAGACAGCAGCCTGAGCCAGATTTGGAAAGGCTCCTCCTTTCTGTGAGTGTTTATATCCTATGTGTACACATGTTACACAGTATCCAAATAGCACCAGAATACGTGCACCTTTTGTTGATAAAATTTCAAGTCTTATGCAAGTTAATAGAGGGTTCTCTGTAATTCTGGAGGTACTAGGTAAAAAAAAATGTCTGTATGTGGCATGAAAAATCATATTAAATGAAAAATACTCATGGTACTTTTTTCTATCCTCCAAACAGAAAACATTCAGCAAGAAGAATTTTATATCTTTATTTAATTACAACAAAAATATAACAATGCATACCAAATGAAAAAGATATTCAAATATGATAAAATTGTCCTGGAAGAGTAATGACTAAATATAGCTGAAAGAATTACCTAGGTGTCATTAAAACACATTTGCAACTTAGAATTATTAGTGTAAATTGAATTTAGTAACTTGAGTCCCAGTTCACTTCTACAAGTTATCAAAATATTTTCAAAATGCTACAAAAACATGGACAATATCCATAAGTATTATATAAACATCAACAAAAAGTATTTAAGAAAAATAAGCAAATGAATCTTGAGATAAAATGCAAGTCACATTTGTCATGCCAGGTGTATTACAACTCCCTTTCTCCTCACATACAATTGGAAGGCTTTTGTATTTTCCAAGATAAGATAGTGATGATAATACATGTTGGCATAAATTTCAGCCATAAAAATAAGGTATTTCATATTTTAAATATTCCTAAGATGAAATACCAACTCAGTACTCCAGTTCCACTAATCAAAACCTTATGAAAACACGAATTGCATTTGGTTTTGACTCTTCAAATCATGGCTGAAAACTCTCAGCAAAGCATTCTAGGCTTTTTTTTTCTCACACCAACTGACCCAGAATATATTTTAAGAAATGTTTATTTTCTGTGCATATGTGTTTTAAAATTATAAATTCCTGAGCACTTTTTCTTCTTCCTCCTCATCACTGTCAGTGACGTTGACTTGCTGGATGCTAGAGGGAGTCGATGTAGGGGCCGTGAAGACGTTTTCCAAGGTTCCAATGTCCAGCTGAGGGATGGGATTCAGGTATTCTTCCCCGCTGTGGCTGTGACTGTTATAGTAAGAGGTCCCATCTATGCTCTCACAACTCCGAGAATCTTCACTGTGCGTGTGCTCATCTGGGTAGTCTCTGAAAGGATAGTCTCTATTTAAAGCTGAGAACATAGACTCGTGTTTTTGATACCTGTCTTCATAGTAACCCAGGCATTCTGGCATTGAACTTGGAAAATTTCCATAGCCAAAGGGAGGCCGACTATAAGGACACGTGCTGTGGCAAAAAGACACAAAAAAGAATTAGATCAGAGCTTGCCCTCCTAATGCCTTAGGGTTAGGGTTAGGGTTAGGGCACACACACAGACTAATGGAGCAAGTTACTATATCCTCTTGGGTCCTGGAAAGTTCCCCAGATTCCTTCTGTGCCGCCTTCACATACTCATCTGCTCTCTTCCCATTGCCTAGTCCAACCCCAAATAAAGAACAAAGGGAAGTTTCGACTGGAATAATCACCAGCATTTACTACCTAATATTAGCAGGCGGCCAAACATTTGCCAAACTTGAGCAACAAGAGTTGCTCGTCCTGGCCTTTCTCTTATAATGACTCATACCACACCAGCTTTAGACTGCAGGTCTGTATGGTATTATGCTAGGAAATGACACAGTAACAATGACACAGGGCACAAACAGCTTGAAATAGCTTCCAAAACACAAGAGATGCAACAAAAGGTAACAATTTTTAAACTGACATTCAATTATAAAATACATTTGTTAATTAAAAATATTTTTACTAAACCATAAGGATTTGGAACTACAGTAATGTTAAACAGCGGCATTAAGTCTTTTAGAAAAAAATTTAGAGCAAGAATGTGAAGAAAAGACTATTTTGAAATTTTATACATGATTTTTAAAGCAAACCCAATAATTCTTTCATTCAAAGCCATTTGCCAATTAAAAAAAATCATTCTGTTTTTTAAAAGCACTAAGCATTATAGGAAGAGGTATAGAAAAGTCTAGCGAAGAGTTTCTTGTACTCACGGACTCCATCTAGTGACAAAGAACATAAATATAATGACCATATTCATTGGCAAAGCTCATGGCATATTAGGCCATGTATACTTATACATGGCATATAAGTATTCATTAATGCCCTCACATTTTAAAAAAATCTATTTTGTTTCCTTACTTTTAAAAACATAATTATGATACAAAACTAAAAAATTATGATCTGACTCGTTTATATCACATTCCCAAATCTTCAAGTACTAGGTAACTTGCTTATGTTAAAATCACAAATACATGCCCAAACTCCTAAAATATCTCAGGTTTCCATTCCTATGATCACATCCTAATGCAGGGACTTTAAAGGGAGCTCTGGGGATGAAACCCATGGCTTTCACACTGAGCTATACACCCAGGACTTGTATTAATTTTTACTTTGTGACACAGTTTAAGTTTCTCAGTTATCCAGGCTGGGCTTCAATTTGTGATCTTCCTGCCTCATCCTTCCAAACTCCTAGGATTTCAGGCATGCGCCACCATTCCAAGCCATTTTACATTTAGTAGGTGTGACCTAAATATACTGTCCCTTCTACCTCTGATGATTTGCTCCAGGGCTGCTCACTTTCAGGTCTCTTTGTCCAAGTCTATTTCCTACCTATTACCTTCACTTCAGGTATAAGTAATTAACCCAGTAAATCCTCAAGATGCAATGTAGGCAGGATACTGTGTAAGACTTGTTGAGAATTTTAAAAAAGACTAAAATCTTGACGTATACTACACATTGCTAAAGTTTGTAAGGACAGTAACACAAAGACTGTATTGGCATGGTTAAGACAAGTATACACACCATGCTCAGAAAACAAAAATGCCAGCTAGGACAAGATAACCCAGAATGTCACATGCATTAAAACGAATACCTACAGATGCATCACAGTGTAGCGAGGAAAGCATCAGTTAGAATGGAACATTAGCCACATGTAGTAAGCATTCACGACATTTCGTGGGCATTGGCTAAGGATTCTATGTTATCTCAGTTATTCCTCATAACACCCCTATGAGGTAGATACTATAAATATCTCCACTCCCCAGATGGGAGCACTGAGCCTTAAAGAGGTTAAGCAGCTTGCTTCAAGTCAAGTAATAAAGACTGGGAAACCTGACTCCTAAACTTGGTCTACTACCATGCCACATTTGGCAGGGCACTAGTTCCAACTGTACGGAAAAGTTCTTGCCTCAGTAGAAATTATGGCGGTGGTCTAACGAGGCGGAAGGCCAAAGCGGGACCGCCTACCACCTCCTGCTTCTTCCCCAGCTCCTGTTTGCCCCGAAGAAAATTCCAATCGGCTGCTGGAGAATCAGCAAAGCCGCCCTAAGCACCACCCCAATCGGAAATTATATGTACGTCCCATGTCACACGTTTCCCGCAGAGAAAGCCAGGCTTGGAGTTCTCTCCGCGTCCTTAGAATAAAGGCTATTTTTATTTTATATTCTCTCTTTTATCACGCCAAAAACCCTATCATATACCACATACAAAACTAGTACCTCAGGCAAATCTTCATTTAGTGGACTCCTGGCTCCTTACATAAAACAGGGATAACAGGCTTTCCTGCAGATTTCAAAGGTGTGACATGAAGAACAGGAGGATGTTACATCAGTACTCTGGGACCTGGAAAACCTATTTTAGTATGTGGTTGGTAGGGCTCACAGGATCTTACAGTTAATAATGTGGTCATAAATATGGACATGTACGCTGGGATTTAGCTCAGCAGCATAAGCACCTGCCTTGCAAGCAGGCATTCGTGAGTTCAATCCCTGGTACCGATAAAAAAATTTTTTAAAAAGCAGTTAAAAAAAAAAAAAAAGAACCACCTGAAAGACTGGGCATGGTGGTGCACACCTTACACATGTGATCCCAGCATTCTTTGAGACAGGCAGGACGATTGCCAAGTTCAGACCTAACCTGGGCAACTTAGTGACTTGAACATTGTCTCAAAATTAAAAAAAAATGCACATGTACATTTTTATTTTTAAAAATAAAGAGAGCAAAATAGAACAAAATTAATATAAATGGTTACCTCCTGGGGAAGGGAGAGGAGGAGGAAAGCAACAGGGAAATACAAGCTAGAAGTTTTACTATAGCTTGAATTATGGTTTTGACTTTGAAAACATACAAGTATGTCATATAATTTTAAAGTAAATTTAATTTTTAAAAAGACCAGTCCCTAAAAATGAAAGCAAGCAAAAATAAATCAACCCAAGTTTATATTGAATTCAGCTGACTTAACTATAGATAGAAGTAGCATTCAAGGTAATTTAAGCCCAGTGTTTTTATGGTACTTTTCTGATAACATATATCTTAAAGCGAAAAATAATCACAAACAAATCTTAAACTGCAATGAATAGTTGTATTGTCAGGAGTACTGGTGTTCTGAAACCATTACTTTTGCTATTTTACTATTATACTTTTGGTATATACATGTATCTGGAGCGATACATCAGAGAAAAATTATGTTTAAGAGAATTACACAAGTAATCATGTTATAATCAGTTGGAACAAAGAATTTTAATTTTAGCTATACTATTCTATAAATCACTTTAAAACTTTTAAATATTAGCTTTGCTGAGGATTTAGCTCAGCGGTGAGTGCCTGCCTGGCAAGTGCTAGGTTGTAAATTCAATCCCTGGTACTAAAAAAAAAAAAAAAAAAAAAGGAAAAAGGAAAAGAAAAAAAATCTAAATGTTAGCTTTATTTTGGAAATATCAATACAAGGTCATAAATTTTTTATTAATAAAATTTTTTCGTAATAATTTACATACAAGGCTTTGATACTTTGCTAATTTAGTGGCAGTTAAACATATGTTTCCATAACTATAATTTTTAAGAACTATAATCTTTAGCAAAATGAACTGGTGTTTGTAAGATGGCTTATTCCAGACTTGAGATAGACAACACAAAAGAGCAGCCTGAGACATAATGTGCCCGTGAACAAAACATTTATCAGAGATTGGTGTACAGACGCCAAATTGCCACCCCTGGATAACTGAGCATCAAAGAGGAAAAGGACAAGAGAGGAGAAGCGAAGAGAACAGGACTGTTGACTAAAGGTCGAAATGTACTGCCACATATCAAATATATAAAAATCCACTTATTTAGAAAAATAATTTGATAATAATAAAACAAAACTCATTGATATGGGGGAAAGAATCGTGTTTATCCTGTTCATCTTGTATTTTAGAGTAACATCATATAGTGAATGAAAAGGTTTTCTTCATAAAAGCATTCCAGATAATGAAGAAATATTGAAGCAGAAAATTCACCATTTGGCAATCTTATGCTTTCTGCAACAATCACCACAGCTATTATTATTATTAGCTGGTATTTTTCAATCTTAGCTATCTAGACAAAAGAGAAAAGTATATTTCAACTTCAATCCTGGCTCTCTCAGTAAGAAGGAAGGGTAATTGTGCAATGATGGGAAAAGCAGCATACTGGAAGTCCTAACTGAAGGAGAATTCCAAGTCTTCACAGGCTCTAAACCCAGTTAGGGGGCTGATTGGTCCGAGTGCTCTGCTCCAAAGAAGGAACTCACATTGAGCCTCCTCAAACCCCAGTCCAATCTGCCATATAGCTACTGCTAGACAACATCCTGCCCCAGGGGGCAGCAGCCAGCCCCCTGACCACACAAGAATCCCTTGCCTAGTACATGCCTCACCTGATAGGAGACAGCCTCCTCAGTATTCTTCAGCTTCAAGACTCGTGGCTGCCACGTCCTGGTCTCAAGGTCCACCCCAAGTCACCCAACAGAAACTAAAAAAGGTCTCCTCCTCAGGCCACAGGGACTGTAGCTGCCAGTGCACAAAGCTCTAGCGTTACCTAGGTTGGTCCCTAGAGACCAAGGGAAGGTTTCATCCTTGACCTGGAGTGCCAGGACCCTGCCATGCACATGCGCCTCAGCTCCACCATAGCTTGCCCGTATGACACAGGAATATTCCCACTGACATCCCACAGCTTCAGGGGCAGATACCAAAGCCCCAAACCCAGCACCAAACACACTGAACCTGTGGAACCTAGAGAAAGTCTCTTCTATGTGCTACAAGTCTGAGAGCATGGATGCCAGTCCCACAATTCCAAATGTTACCTGTATATGACCCCAAGACATCTATGGAAGGTCTATTCCATAACCTACAGACAGTGGACCACAGATGCTAGTATCAAAAGCCCTGATAATACTTGTACTTGCCACTGGGTACCTGGAGGAAGTCTCATCCAGG